ACAAGAACGCGTGTTCAATTTTCTTTATACACGAATCCCAAGCGGATTTTTAACCGCTTATAATACTCGTTCAGTGTGTGAGAATAGAGTATATTAGCTATGGGTTACTGAGAGTCTGAGTTGTCTATATATAAATGTAAAAAAAACAGTTGAATTTTGGAATATACATATATTGGGGGGAGTCATCATCCGAGTCTTAAAGCTTGTTTAATACATGGCATTATGAAAGTCGACTTTAGGAATTTTCGATATGTGCGTAACACTGCTGAGTTGTATTGCTGTATCAACTCTATAAATTAATAGGCATTTTTCCACAAATCCAGCGACTGTTAGACAGTGACGTCTTAATTATAATACTTTTTATTTCTTCCTTTTTTTTTTCTTTTTTTTGTTAAAAAGTGGGGAGAATTATCTATGTGTCTGCGTTAGCTTCGGGCATTTGTTGGCTAATTTTAAATACCCAGCGAATACGAAAGCAACAAACAACGAACTGAGTCATGCGGCAAATGCGTGATAGGCTCGAAGATTTTTGGTTTTGTGCGGCCAGGCGAGAACGAAACGAATCGTAACGTAACGTAACATAGCATAAATGTTAAAAAAATACGAGAGATTGTGGTATAGGGGCTAGAAATATATTTATATACACATTTATAAAGAAACCCATTGATATGGAGACCCAATATGGAAAGAGAACGCAAAAGCGCGCAGAACACGGCGTGAAAGCGTGAAGATTAACGAACATTTGTAGTTTTAATTCACTAATTTGTATATATGAATTATATATGTATTTTTTTTTTTTTTAATGTATCTACATATTTCCTAATACGACATGAAAACATACTTGATTCTATTGCAATAACAAAAATATTTCGGTTGAACAACTTGTATGATTAAACAACAATAATATTTGACTGCTCTTAAGTAGCCTGTAAAACGTTTATGAAAATGACAGGAAAACAATTACTGAGAAAATAGCTTATAAAGAAGGCAGAAACAGAAACAAAAGCTAAATGATTTATATCATTTCTGGAAAAACGTCTAAGAATAAGCAAGGAAGAGAAATACGAAATTCGAAATCCCTTAAGACAAAAGAATTCATTCTATTGAAAAGACATTTTTATTCGAAACGAAAAGTGAGCCAGGTTAAGTATTAAAGGACTTCGACATGGAATGTATTTGAATTATTGATAAATCAAGTCCCAGCCATAGCACTTAGACACAGGTTTTGTAGGCCATGGGTCATACCCTAATAATAGCTTCCAAGAATGTAACTGGGCAACATTTTCTGGTTTTTGACCAACAAAGAGCGTTTTGTTTTAGTTAAGTAATTTAAAATTCTAGCTTTGCATTTATTATGGACACGCTGACAGACAGACAACGGACACACATGACACAGTTATAATATCTAATTCGTTTGTTGTGCAAACAGACAAGAAGTAAGCAAGCAAGCAACTGGCTTTTAAGACTGGCCGAAGTAAGGGCACCAAGTTTGAACTAGTTAAAGTTGCAGCCAAGTTGGCACGAGGCACAGAAGTAGACAATATATATAGATGTATGTATATATATATAGTTTACATACTATATATAGTATATGCAATATGCTATAGATACGATTCTTGGCAGGTCGGTTGGGTAACAGCATTGCAGCTGACCCAAATTGCTGGGCCTCGATTTATAGTGCTTTCCTTCGCCCTCTCTCTCTCTCACTGTCTCTGTGTGTCTTTCTCTCTCTCTCTCTCTCTCTCTCTCTGGCTCTGTCACTCTCATGTCTTTCTCTCGTTCTCTGTGTGATGTAATAAGTGAAAAGCGAAATGACACAAAAGTGCGCATTGATTTTGCCAATGCTAGAGGCGGTGCAATCGAGGCGGTGCGGGAGGATTTGCAACTGCTGCTGCTGCTGCCTTGAAGAATGCCTGCGTGTGTGTATTTGTATCTGTGTTTGAGTTATGTTATAGATTTATGCAGCTCTTGCTAGCACATTTCATTCGCATTCTCATTGTCAATTTGCATATTGCATTTTGGACGTATTTTTAGTGACCAAGATTTGCTTTCACAAAATCTCTATATGCCAAGCACACAGATAAACACAGTCAAAACTGACTAAAACGAAAAATATTTATATCTGCTAATGCAAATAATGCAAGAGTTAGCTAAACCAACAACAGCTGTTCATTACCACAGTTTTTCACTGTAAATACAAATACACATATAGGGAAATATTGGGGGATATGGGGTTCGGGGGTAGCTGTAGCGGTAATTCGTTCCGCCCCTTCGCCCAGTTCCGCCCTTTTTGTCTTTTGCCATTTGCCAATGTGCAATGCTGAGTGCATTTTGGCGCCTTGCCAAAGAGAAATTTTATTTTTGGCTTCTTGGCTAAGCTCGCAGCGTGCGCAGCCTTGCGGCACAAACTGCAGCAGCAGTAGATACCCGATATATATGCCAGYACATACACACACACACACACATGCATGCAGTATATACAGTCATATGTATATATAGCGCTGCACGCTGTGTGCATCCGCTCAGCCAGGTTATGTAGTTGCCAATCACACAGCAGAGAAAATGGAATCCTTTGCAATCTTTCGTAACCCATGAGCCCCAAAAAGGTTCGGCTAAAATGGGGGCGGAATAGACCAAAACTGGGTCGTAACACTGACCCAATTTTCAAGCTTCAGATGATAACTGTGCACTGTGAATGCTGTAGGCCAATATGGCCTGAAAAACTGGGTAAGGCGACCTTGTCGGCTGCTCTGAAGGTCGCTCCCCGGCCAGCAGAGCATGAAATATACACAAAATGTTAGCGATATATATATATGTGCACATGTATATGAATATACTACATAGCAGATGTGGGCAGCGCTACGTCTATGTATGTATTTGCTCTGCTATGTACACTGATTTGAAAGCATTTTGTTTTGCTTATCTGGAAACACGTGATTCATGCCAAACACATATGGAATTGAGGCTGCTCTAGCTAAACCAGACAGCTTATCAGCATACTTTGTTGACTACGGCCAAGAATTGGCCGTAAGTCGAATGCCCTAAGCGGAGTATGGGGTATATTTGTCAGACATTTACACACTTTACATATGCATATATGATATACAAGTCAATATAATATATAGAGACAGCGGAAACTTGTTTTGAAGGGTTTGCCTGCGGCTCTTCGATCGTTGATCGCGAATCGCTTATCTGGGGTTTTTCACATCTCTGACTCAACACTCAATAAAATTGTTTAAGCAATTCAAATGTATACTGAAAATATTGTAGCTCTCGTATATATTAATAAACAAGATGTAGTGATATGCTGCCCATTTGAGCAAAAATCTTCTCTAAAGTTCAGTTTTATTTGCATAAAACTGAAAGAATTCTTTGACGTAAACATATTCTTGTTTTTACCGATCTATGAGATAACACATACACATACACTTTAGTTTTAAGGCACTTTGCACTTTTTCCGTCACAGAAATATATGGCTATGTCTTAAGACAGCTGAGTAAAGTAATTGCTGTTAGTCAACAGGAATCGATATATAAATATCTATATTTAGAAGATCATTTGTTCCACTTGATCTACCCAACAGCTAGTCAGCTAATGATAAACGGCCGGAAAATGTGTGTCAAATGCTAGATATATTTGATCGAAAAATATCTGTGAAATGTATCTTTAGCGAAAGTATCTTTTATAAATGTATTTTTAACAAAAGTAGCACTGACAAAAGTATAAAAGTATCTTTTAATGGAATAGCTCAACTGGTTAATGATATCAGACGACACATCACAGACGCTTGATGATGTCATCCGACGTACTTTTTACTCTGCTTCTTCTTCTTCGTATTTTTTGCAAATACGTAATGTTTGTCTCCAGACAGTCAGACAGACAAATACATATGTAGATAGTCAGCCCTAGAGCGCGATAGCAAGATAGAAAAAAATGGCCGCAGCACAAAATTCGTCTGTTTGGGTTGTTGACGCGTCTGCTGATATGAGACAGAGCCAAAGGAGACAGAGAAAGAGAGAGGGAAACTTGCGTATTCATTCAGCTAGTTGAGGTACAAATTCCAAAGCACATTAGCTGAATAAATAAACACGAAACATTTTGTAAGCAAAAAAATACAGCTAAATAAAGTGATAGTACGGTAAATATTGTCTATGCCTAGTTTCTAAACAAGAGTTTAAGGTATTTGTGAGAAGAATCTAAAAAACAGTTATTTTAATTGCACATTTAAGCATTTCTCTTGCTTATTATCGGCCGTTTCGCAACACTGTTGCAACAAAATTCATTCATGCAAAAAACTGTCTCATTAATATATATAGATATGAGATATACTATATAACTATTTTTTATTCTTATAAACAGTTGATTCAAATCACTCAAAATTTGAATAAAATTTATACTGATTCCACTCTAATTGCTTGTTTATTTTATTATAATTATAAAAGCATGGGAATTTCGCTGTACTTGGAATTTCATTTGAAACTTGTGTATTTTGTACTCGAGTAATTTGTTCGATTTGAAATGAAAACAGCAAATTTGTGCATGCTTAATTGCTTTGGCAATTTTCAAAAACAGGTTTCAAAAAGAGCTTTTGCAACTGCAACAAATTGTATATAAACAGTTTATATATATATATATATATATAGCTGTAAAGAATTAGCCATGTTTTGCGCTAATTGAGCGTATAATCGGTTTGTACTACAAAAAGAAAACATGATAAAGTAATTTTAACTTGATTTCTTTTTGTTGGGGCTTGGCCCTCACAAGGCTGTGAATCATTTTTATAGTATTTCGCCTTGTGCGCAGCTTTAAACAGGCTTTAAAAAGCAATTAATTAAAGCTCCACTCTCTGTTTTTTTCTTAGCAAAAGTCCAAATTAGAGGCTTTCTGTAACGGCTGTTGTTCTATGTTTCTGTGTCAAATGCATTTTGCAGTCATCTTTTCACACACAACGACAAAATCGACCTCATAACGAGCCTTGTGATTCCCACACAAAGGCAAACACACCCCCACGCACACACACACACAATGGCAGCTGTCTGAATGCGCAGCACATGCCCGTGTCCGTTTGTTATTTTTACACACAAAAAATATATATTGCAAAATTCTGCAATACAAGTGAGACATTGTATATATAGATAGATAGCTATATAAGCCAATAAAATGTGCTGCAGCTGTGTGTGTAATACAAGCTGCATGTGTGCAAGGTCAAGTGGTTACGTTATGCGGTGCGAGTGTGTGCGTGCGTATGTGTGTGTGTTACGATGACTGTGCTACAGTGAAATCGCGTATACGCCACATGTGTCAGTGTTTGATCGTCTCTATATATGCGCGTCTTGTTTAATTGCCAGTGCACGAAATTCGTTTCAAGTAGGCCGCTGATTAAAGCGGCGCTTTAATTGGGATTTCGTTGCGGCGAATCACATTATAATGGAAAAGGATTCGTTAAGAGAAAGCCATTTGCATTACATAAAGCAAAGGCAAGCGCGAGTGCACTAACAAATGCCAAATGCAGGCAAATCTAATTTTAAACTCAACGAAAAACTCGGCCCAAGCAAAACTAAACGAAAGAGTGAGAGAGGAATGCGGGGCGAGCGTCGGCATTGGCTGGCTGTTGACGTGCGTGCGTGGGAGAGAGGGAACTGGCGTGGATGAGCCGTGGATGATTGTTTTCAACCCACACACTCCACGTCAAAGCACGCACACGCTTGCACGTACACATACACACACACAGAGAGATGCAAACTTAAAGCTTGAATCTAACGGCACAACAATTGCTGTGCAATTGCAACTGTTTCACATGGCATTTGCTTTGTTTCGTTTTCATTGTTGCATAATGCAAGCGAAATGCAAATAGAAACGCGAAATCTAAAATGAAAATGAATTTTACGGGCATGCTGACACGCGTTACGTGTGCAAAAGAGGAAGGTAAAAATAAAATACAGTTTATGCAATGCAGGAACACAAACCCACACACTCATACAGATATAGACATAGACAGGCACACATGTTAGGCAAAACAGCTGTTTTTGGTTATAACAGAATAACAATACGTTGCAAGTAGAGCGGCTGCTGCTGCGATTGCTGTTGTTGCTGCTGCTGCTGCTGCTGGTCGCCTAATCCAAGTCCAAAAAGCACAGCTGCTGCTGCTGCCGTTGCGGCTACTGCTGCCGCCGCTTCGTGATGTTGTTAACTCGATGTGGAAATTAAAACTGACGACTGCCAACGTTGGCCGTTGCAGCTGAAAGCATACGGCAGCTGGCAGCCAGCACAGGCAGCGCTGCCGGCGCTGACTGCAGCTGCGGTAGCGACAGCGACAGCGTGACTGCAATGCCGTTTTGTTGTTCTTCTTCGTCGTGCTCTTGTTGTTGCTGTTGTCGCAAAAGAAACTGTTACAATTTTAGGCCAATTTCTTTGTGTACCGCGACGCGACGACAAAAATTTCGATGGCCACGCGGCGTGAATGAAACTTGCAGCAAATGTAGCCAGGCACACATACAGAAGTATATAAATGTGAGTGTGTGCTTGTGCTTGCATGTACGAGTGGAGTGAGTTGGCGCGCGGGCATCTACAAAGACGCGCAAAGGTGAAATATACTAAACGCCGTGGCATTTATTTCTGTACGAGCTACGCTCACTTGCTCTCTCTCGCTGCAACGGCAGCAACTGCAGCAAGGTGGCACAACACCCCAACATCCAACACACACACACACAAAACAACAGCGCACACAGCACACACATAAACACACTTGAGCACAGTCCCGCAAAAACTTTTCATTTCGTTCGGCGCAAAGTAAACTACAAACTACGCTGCTCTAATGCTGAAGCGCAACTGTCAGCTGCTCAGCGCTCGCGAACAAAAGCTAACTGAGCAGTGCTAAATGAAGAGAGCAGCCGAGCGTCAGAGAGCTTTTTACACACGCACACATTTGTAACAGCAGGAAACAGCACAGCTGAAGCTTTCGCTTCGCTTTGCAGCTCTGTCGCCGCCTGCATTTGAATTTGCCGCTGTTGTTGTTTTTGCTGCTTTACTTTTAAGTTCTTTTTTTTTTAACAACTTTGTTCGCATGACGCAAATGTAGTAGGTACGGGCTACTGCTCATGCCACACAAAACTATTTGTTTGCATGTGTGTATGTGTGTGTATAACAAGCTGTCTCTCACGTTTGAATTGACGCCGACGTCGCTGCCTTTACGCCCTCTACAAAGTGAATAGCTATGAATACTGCTATCTCGCTCACACACCAAAATTGTCTCATGTCAGTTGCATTTTGCATTGGGCGTTAATGTTCAAGGTGATTTACCAGTGTGTGTGTGTGTGTGTGCTTGTGTGTGTGTGTGTGTGCTTGTGTGCGTGAAGGCGGATTACTATGTGTCACACTTGCTACACGAATCACCCTGTACACGTGCACATTCCGCAATTATGCGAAATTATCGATCAAATTTTGTTCTAAGGTCAACTTAAATTGAAAATTAAGCACTATATATTTGTACGTACATATATACCACAGTATATACTATATACACTCGCGGCTACTATCGCAGTAAATCTCGTCGTGCATGACTAAAACCATTTCGTGTCATTATTTAGTTACTTTTAACGAAATATATAGACAGATATACGTTTATACATATACATACATGTATAAAATATATATAACAGATCTTCATATAGTATAACCTAATAACATTTCATATACATATATTGTGTAGCTCTCAATTAAAAAAAATATATATTTATATAATCTTTGAACTTTATATAAATTATCTATTGTTTATAATACCTATCTTATCCTCTGCCTAACATTTTGATAGAATTGTAGCTAAGCTATATAAGACTTATCAGCTTATGAGTAAAGAGCAACGATGCTTTAAAATCACAAATGAAAGCCAATCTATTTATTAGAAAAAGAAACGGAGAAATTATTATGAAGTACTTCTATAAATCAATTAGTTTTCTCACATTCTTAAAACCTAGTAAAAAGTTTACGAATGATATACAAAGAGGAATTGATAAAATCAATGCTCAATTATGAGGAATATTTAAAGACTATTTCGTAAGCTTGAATTCTAACTAAATTGCAAACTGGTTTCAAAACAATTTCAAGTGTCTACTATATACTACATATACTACATACAGTATGCACTATAAATGTATATTCATGTATATAAGCACACTTAGATATTCCACATTTTTCCCCTCTCTTTCAAATAAACAAAACATTGCAATATATCAAGTCGCAGTTGATTTCATCATTCGAAAAAAAAAAAAAAAAAAAAAAATTATAGCCCCTGATGAGCTCACTTAATGGCTCGAACTTTGATGAATTAGCGGCGCATAAGAGATATATCAATTATATCAAATAGATATATATAAATACATATGCGCATATATAGCTAAGACAATCAGGTGATGCATTGTGAGTCTTTTTTCTGCTTACATAAGCCATACGAAATACTCGACATATATGTATATCTTAAAGGGTAGCATGTGCAGCTAAAATCAATTTCACTTTCCTTGACCTCTGGGTCGGCAGCAAAGCGACGGCAATCTACAGAGAGTCAACAAAGGATAATTGAGGGTCATTTGAAATGCAAAAGTGACAAAAATGCAGCTAAATGCAAATAAATGTCGAAATAATGTCAAACGATTTTGCCACACTTTGCAGCGGCACTTCCTCTGCCCACCGCTGCGCCCCTTAAGGTCCCTCTCCCACTCAGTGTCTTACCCCTCTCTTTGACCGTGCTGTCAATGAGCCAAAAAGTCGAAAAAGCGGCACAAACAGCAAACAGCAGCCAAAGCGAAACGAAAATAGAAAATTTTTGCGTTGCACGCGAGATTTTCTTTGAAACCAATTCGAATTGCAGCATGAACAAAAATCTCTTTTAATTGTTTTGGCCAACTTCAAGGAAAAAGTTAAGCCTTGCCAAGCAACAGTTTGATCAGGCAATAGATGCCCTTTAGCTGAATTTATCTAGAGCTTCAATTGTATATCAATTAAATAAAATTGCGGGGTGAAGGGTGTGTAACCTGTTGTGCACACCCGTTCAGCCTGATATCGACGGTATTCGACGGAAAATTGTTTGTCATATTGATCATATTGATATTGCTATATCAAAGTCTGCCTATCAAATTATATTATCATAGGTCTTTTAATTCTCGAGATATAGCAAAAAGCAAAACATATATCGATAGTCATCGATTTATCAGAATTTCGACTATAGGACTATTTCAGTACTTATGATTAATTCACTTAAGTATGCTTATATTCCTTTTCGTAACATTTAGGCTTTCTAATCTGAGAGTTTGACCAAATGATTTTCATTCAATATATATTTCATTCAATATTTACCATAAATGACATTGAAATCGATATGTCGATTTGCTTAAAATGAATAAGTTATTCATATATTAATAATTTACATTGGGTATGTTTATAAAGACAGCTGTAACTTCTAACTTTTTCACAGGTGTGCGAAACTCAAGATTCATATTTATCGATTTGCCTTGAATGAAAAAGGTATACTATTAGATTTCACCTGTTAGCCCATTATACCCCACCATTCTTTCATTCATAATTGATACAGGGTATCACAATTTCACTCGCATTAATACTGAAAACTCTTTGACTGGCATAATTACATTTTAATCGAAAATTTTTCAGAGCGTTTCTTTCGCTTTCAGCGCATTCAAGCGCACTTCTCTGTGCCACGCCTCCAGCTGAGAGGCTTGATGAGTACGAAATAGTGGAAAAGATGCGTATTGATGTTTCGTTTTGGTTTGCTACAATCGAGAAATTGAGAACTAAAAATTTAAATTTGTTTGTCGAAGATCAAGATGTRTACGAACAAGAAGTAAATGCTGAATAATATAATATAATATGCAATTTTTGTTTTAATTCAATTATTTCTTAATCAATTTCTTAAAATTATTTTGCACAAATTTTCGCAATGTTTGAATTTGGGCAACATTCGATTGAATTTTCTTTACATAATTTTTCGTTTTTCATTTGATTATTCCGTGGGGTAGATAAATGAAAATTCATTAAAGAAAGCTTATGGCTAAGAAATATTTAGTATGGTCAAATGAATTGAAAACAAAGTTAAATTAAAAGATAATTAGGAAAAAATATCACTTTAAATTAAAAACAATGATAAAACTTAGGAGACTTGCAAAGAAAATCCAAAAAAATCATCTTGATCCAAAAAAATCATCTTGAAGCGCTACTCACCCTGTGCCTGTTGCTGTCGTCGTCGTTGTTGTTGTGGTTGTTGCTGTTGTTGCATTGGCTGTCAACGGCCTCTGGATACCACCAGCTGTGTTCACTTGCAACATATTCAAAGCGAGCACAGGGTGTATCCCAGCGGCAATTGCACAGAGAGAAAGCTTTCTCAGCTAAAAAAAGCTTAGCGAAGACACAAACCAGCTGCCATTGTTCAATTCAGTTGCAGTCGCTGCTTTGTTGTTATAGTTTTAGATGTAGTTGTTATTATTATTTATACTACATACTTTTTCACTTATTTTACACTGCATTTTTCACTGACTGCTTCACATCAATTTGAATTTCACAATTCACTTTACACTAAGCAACAAAAGGTTCAGGAAAATCTATTCAAATATGGTTATATGTTGTTAAAGATAGATTTTGAAGCATTTCTCTTGATTGAATTTAATTTTAAACAGAATTTGGTAGTTTTTAAATAAGTCAATTCTTAGGTAAACTAACATTGATTTATCTAAATTACTTAGCTCATATTCATCTATGTTTATATATACAGGAAAAGCCCTAATCTATATCCATCTAATCTATATACACCTGGTTTATATACTCTTCTCTATATACCTCACACTATACGATGCACTATATACATAAATCACTATATCCTCCTTTATATGAACAAGTTTTAAATTTTATCTATTCTTTTTATTATTCACAAACTTTTTTTATTTTGATAAAGAAAAAAATGTATAAAATTCTTTTGTAAATAAATATTTTTTAACTTCAAAATCTAAATAAAAATATATTTATTTTTTGTATTTAAATATTTTTTGTAACATGCTTTCTTATAATATTTTATTCTAGCCATATCACATTAAAGCGCAAATATTCCTCAGGTGCCCGGTTTAAAGAGCTCTGTACT